ACAGATGGTCTCGTATGCCTTTCCCTTGGTTAAGAGAGCGCTGTCCAGTCTGAATGTAGATGGCCTGTTTGACCCCTCTTTTGGAAATTCTGAAATTTAGTAGGGAATTGTATTACTAAGATATTACTGGTTTATGTATTGTAATATTTTTCTTTTAAGAGTTGAAGCCTCTTTTGCTACATATTAAGCTGTAATTCCTGTAGAAACCATAACTAAGGCAAACCCCCCCCCCAGGTTTATAAAGATAAAGTTTTCCCCTGTCCTGTCATTCCTGACACTAAGGGATGGTGCTCATCTCTGTTTCTTAGCTGAGGGAGCCAGCATTGTCTGAAGATATTTACATGATCATGCGGTCAGCATGACTATGTGCCGAGGCGCATGGGACTCTGTTACCTCCCCACCGAAGTGGTATCTATTTATTCATATTTGCATGCTTTTGAATTGCTAGATAGGCAGGAGCTGGGGCAAATAACAGAATAATAGAGTTGGAAAAGACCTTGGAGGTCTTCTAGTCCAACCCTCTGCTCAAGGAGGAGACCCTATACCAGCGGTTCTCAACCTGTGGGTTGCGACCCTTTTGGGGCTCACACGAGTCTTTCAGAGGGGTTGCCTAAGACCATCGGAAAACACATATTTCCGATGGTCTTAGGCAGGGCTTGTCAACCGCCTTCTCTCCCTCCCCCCCTCCGCTCCACCTCACTTGTTTGTGGAAAATATGCTGCTTGGCGGTAGTCTGCACAAACTCTACCAAATGTGCCCTGCAGGGGGTGCATGAAGAGCGCAGGCACAGAGCAAGGCCCCGCCCTCCCCAGAGACTCATTGTGCAGCAACCGGATTGACTTCTTCTCGTGCATGCAGGTCAGCGAAGGGGAGGCCGCCTCAGCACCCAACTCCTGCGCCCGTCAGCTGGCGACCCCCAAACTTGCGCTTGTCAGCCAGGAGGTCTGGCGACGGCTGCCGGTCTCCTTTGCCACCCCGCCTGTCCTCGACTTCTCCGCCCATTCATGTCGAGCCCGCCGGGGCTTGACAGGGAAAGAGGGAGGGAAGGAGGAAGGGACTCCTCCTCCTTTCCTAAGCTTCAAAGCACGATCGGCTTCCCAAGGGCGCCGCAATCCTCACAAAAGTGGGGGGGGAGAAGCAAAGGGAACGAGAAAGCTCGCGGCAGGCTCGAAGGAGCACCTGTCAGCTTTGGTGACGAGAAATTCCCTACAAACCCAGGGAAGGAGTGGAGAAAAGGAGCCCCCTTTGGGAGGAAACCGCCACCTTCTTCTCCTTGGCTTTGCGCTCTTCTGTTCCTCGGCAGCCAGGCTGCCAAGCCTCTGCTGGCTGGAACTTCCTTTCCTTCCCTCCCTCTTGGTCTCTTCCTCCTTCCCTCTCTCTCCCATTGCCCCTTCCTTCCTTTCCTTCACCTATCTCTTTGTCCCTCCTTCCCTCCCTCTTTCCCCTTGTCCCTCCCGTCCTTCCTTCCTTCCCTCTTTCCAGGATCGGGGCGAGCCTCTACAGCTGATCTGCGCTTCTGCAGAGCAGCCCAGAAGCAGATCAGCTGTAGCAGCTCTCCTTGGCTCCTGCCCAGCAAACTTGCTCGAGCTTTGCTAGAAAACATGCCGCTTGCTAATTTAGCAGAAGCACAAATCAGCTGTAGCCCGGCGCTGATCCTGGAGCTTCTGCTAACTTAGCAAGCGGCATGTTTTTGGCGAAACTGAGCAAGTGACCTGGGCGGAGCTCTCCTCTGCCTCTGCCTGTGCACGGGCAGTTTTGGCATGTTACCATGGCCACTGGCAACAAAGCCACCAGCCACGCTGGCAGCCTATCCCCCTTCCCTTGTCCCTTCCTGGGCACGGGGGGGGGGGAGGAAGTAAGGGACAAAGAGGGAGGGAAGTAAGGGACAATGAGAGAGGGAAGGAAGGAAGGAACAATGGAAGGGAGGGAAGGAAGGAAGGGACAAAGAGGGAAGGAAGGAAGGAGGGAAGAAGGAAGGAAGGGACAAGGGGAGAAAGGGAGGGAAGGAGGAAGAGACTAAGAGGGAGGGGAAAGAAAGAAGGAAGGGACAATGGGAGAGAGGGAGGGAAGGAGGAAGAGATTAAGAAGGTGAAGGAAAGGAAGGAAAGAAGGAAGGAAGGGACAGTGGAAAAGAGGGAGGGAAGGAGGAAGACACTAGGAGGTGAAGGAAAGAAGGAAGGAAGGGACAATGGGAGAAAGGGAGGGAAGAGACTAAGAGGGAGGTGAAGGAAAGGAAGGAAAGAAGAAAGGGACAATGGGAAAGAGGGAGGGAAGGAGGAAGACACTAAGGGAGGTGAAGGAAAGGAAGAAAAGAAGGAAGGAAGGGACAATAGGAGAGGGAGGGAAGGAGGAAGAGACTAAGAGGGAGGTGAAGGAGAGGAAGAAAAGAAGGAAGGAAGGGACAAGGGGAGAGAAGGGAGGGAAGGAAGGACCCACCCCAGTCCCATCCCAGAGACTCACAGATTTCCCCCCCCCACAGGCACTCTGCAACCTGAGTGATCAGCTGGCCACGCCCTCTGGCCATTGATCACGTGACCCTGGGACACTGTGAAGGTCATAAGTATGAATCAGTTGTCAAGCATCCAAATGTAAATCACATGACCCTGGGGATGCTGCAACAATCATAAGTGTGAAAAATGATCATAATTTGCTTTTTCAGTGCTGTTGTAACTTCAAACAGTCACTAAGCGAATTGTTGTAAGTTGAGGACTACCTATACTTTCCCATTTTCTCCTTTTTTGGGGGGGGTCAAGTTTTTGATACCCCCCCCCGGCCAGATGGATGGGGGGTTGGGGTTCATCACAACATGAGGAACTGTATTAAAGGGTCGCGGCATTAGAAAGGTTGAGAACCACTGCCCTATACCATTCCAGACAAGTGGCTGTCCAGTCTCTTCTTAAAAGCCTCCATCAATGGAGCACCCACAACTTCTGAAGGCAAGATTAATTATTCTCATTGTTAGGAAACTTCTCCTTGACTCTAGGTTGCTTCTCTTCTTGATTAATTAAGTAATGCTGGCTCATCCTATTGCGCAGTGCTCAGGTGTCAAACCCAGGCATGAACAGGGAAAAATCAGCTGATGACAGCCTACTGGAGGAACAAAGTTGAAAGCTGGAAGGAATAGAGTTCAGAACGGAGGTGAGAGCAGCCTTCCAAATTTAGGAGAAACCTCTTGGGAGATAACCTGAAGATTGGAACTAGAGGCTGAACAGAATATGAAGCCACTCTTTAAGGTCATTAGCAGAGAGATCTCGCCAAAGGAAATTTCAAGCAGTATTTGAACTATTTGAAACCTTTCTTCAAGGAGCTAGCAGTAGCAGGAGGAAATAAAGCTAGTGGAAGATTGCTATACATAAATTATCCTTATTGTGAGAGACTGACTAAAGGTTAGGAAAATCTCATCTGAGGAAACAACAGTTGAAAGATCAAGCGGTTGGAAAAGATTTCTTATGTATTAGGAAACATAACTAAATGTATGGACTGAGGTAATCTGTGGCTTCTGGTAGAAAATCAAATCCTTATGTAAGCCCTCATCCCATAATAAGTATCTTTTTGTTCAGCATGTAAACTGTTCATATGGTGATGTCAGTGTATGTGCTATAGCAATGATGGCGAACCTTTTAGATACTAAGTGCCCAAACTGCAACCCCAAACCTACTTATGCATCATCGGGTGCCGGGTGGGTGTAGCCCATTGGGTGGGCGTGGCTGTGGTGGTAACAGCAGACTGGATGGGACTAAAAAGTTCAATCAATCAATTCTAACTTTGCAAGATCTTTTTTTTTCCCTGTGAGAAGTTGAAATTGACTAATTAACCTTTTTTTTTTTTTGTACACAGTGGCGGAGGCCTAAAGCAAAAAGGTTTTATAAAACCCAGCTGAAGGCCTAGGACTGGGGTGACGGCACACTTGCCCACAGAGAGGGCCCTGAGTGCCGCCTCTGGCACCCGTGCCATAAGTTCGCCACCACTGTGCTACAGGAACAAAGCTACAGAGGTTTTTTTAATGTAACGTACACTGTGGTTTTTTTTTTTTTTTTTGCTTACAGTAGTTAAAACATTTTATAGTTGAGGGAGTGGTCCTAATGCTATAAACCCAAGCCTATATTTTCTTGAAAAAACAAAATCAGTCAAATGTCCATATGGTTTTGTCATGGGATTAAAGGAAACATATCTTACATGGTTTAATTGAGCACTTTTAATAACTATTGGAGATGTAATTTACAATTTGCTGCCTTGGGCATCAGAATAACTGAAACCAGATCTCTAGAAAGACACATAGTGTGATAGAGATTTGAAGGAAGTATTGCTTAAAGGCTAAAATGCATGACTAAAATGATAAATCCAAATGGAAAGGCTCACAGGGAAGCCTCTGTTAATCTTAGAAAATGTAATAGTGTACCATTGATTTCAATAGACTGTACATATTTGTATTTTAAGTAAGACTTAAAATATGTAAAAGGTTTCTAAACTTCGATGATTATCTTCTTTTAAAAGGTAAATTAACAGCAAATGGAAAAGCTGAGGAATAATTTTGATCTTTCAATATTACAGTGTGCTAAGCCCAGGAGGAAAGGGGGGAAATTCCAGCTGACTTTGATCAAATGTCATTTATATACATTTGCATCACACACAAACGTTGCCCCAGAGACCAGCCACTTATACCATATGGAAAGATAATGTGACATGTGGATTTTTGTTAGTCTTTCAGGCTTATTAGAACCTCTTTTAAGAAGAAGGCGGCAGAGAGGACTTTAGACTCATTGACATATCTGGTTGGGGTTTTCTTAAACAAGGAATTGGTTAAGTGCAAATAATGGTTGTGTTTTCTATAAAAGCTCAGAATCTATTTCCTGTAACTGCAGGGCATGTCTTTTTCATTCTGTCCAAATATCTATTTAGTCTCCTCTTCTTCCCTCCCTCTTTCTTTTTTTTTTCTCATTGTACTTATTTCTGCCCACAGAGTCAGGACTCTAAGGCTCACTAATTCACTTTTTTTATAGGTGGGATTCCAGAACTTTGCTCGTCCTCAGATATTCCGGTTGAAGGTGAGAAGAACCCAGAAAAAGCAGCACAGAAGCCATCTTCCAGCGTAAGAAATCAGTCTTGAGTATTTTTTATAGCTATGACCACAAATAAACAAATGAACCAAGCAGTTAGGCATACATAGTTGATGTCTCAATTTATTTGAGGGGTGAAATGTATGCACTGAATTTGTCTGCTACAATGCAGTGAAGATATAGCAGTTAATAGTATAGTGTCCATAATAGTTCAGTGTCCATAGTTGGTAGGATTTATTTTACTTTATTTATTTCACTTTGAATTAGATGCCACATGACTTATGAAATTAACTCTGAGTGGCCAGAGCAGTGCTAAAATTGCAGAGCCACGAGGCTTACAGAAATATATAAAAATATGTAACTCTCCTACCCTAAAATCTCAGCTTTCAAGAGTTGTTGATAGTTATTTAAAACAGCACAGGGTGGGGAGATTGGACAGCTAAGCTTTTCCTGTATCCTGGTGGCAGTGTGTGACTACCTGACTGGACCCCTTTAAAAGAAACATTCTGGTTAACAGATAAAGCTATACTACAACATTTTGTTGTAGGTTGCAGTTTTTGTTATTGTTCTAAGGCTATCTGACCATCAGGTTACATAATTAAAAGCAAAACAAAGCATTTAAATGTGCTTTCTCTCCCCCCCCCCCTTCTTTCAAGGGATCCTCATCTGAATTTGAAATTGTTGCCAATGAAGATAAGAGATCCTCTCAAGAAAGTAGTAGGAAATCTGTAAGTAATGAAACATTTCTCAAAACTTCCTTGTGCAATTTTAGAAATGAAAATAGGGATAGGTAGTTATGGAGCAATTCACAGAAAATAGGCTAACTTTGATATCTGCCTGGATTTGACTGATCAATTACTTTTTAAAAAAATAATTGTAACTGAATTATATTGCACCATGTAGCATCTTGTAGAAAAAGGTTACGCTCATTCTTAATGAGCTTAATAGTCTAACATTTAACAGTGTCAAGCATCCTATCTAGAGCCAATGAATCTATGTGTGTATAAGTATATTTGTATGAAAAAGAGGAAATGTTTCTCTGTAGGTCATTCTTAAAATTCAAAATACTTCCCAGGTATTTTTTGATCATTAGGGGAAAAGATACCTATGTTCCCATTCTTTTTTTCTTCCTGGTGGACAAAGGGTTAGGATAAAGGAGAAGATTCTTCACTTTAAGGGAGAAGGAGATCGATCCTACAAATTGTAGAAGGGGGAGATGTAGTGCATTCCTACATTCTGTGCTAGATTGCTCCACTCATTGCTGGTTTAATTTCTGTGATTGCTTTGCATGGTCTGTCTCCAAGGAACTGGCTTTTTCTGTCTAGAACCAACTGCTGCTCATAACTGCTATTGACATTTTCTTGCCCCCCAAAACACACAACTGTAAAATCATGCATAGGGAGCCCTAGTGGCACAGTGGTTAGAAGGCAACATTGCAGGCAAACTCTGCCCACAGCCTGGAGTTCAGTCCTGACTGGCTTAAGATTGACTCAGTCTTCCATCCTTCCGAGGTCAATAAAATGAGGACCCAGATTGTTGGGGGCAATATGCTGACTCTGTAAGCCACTTAGAGAGGGCTGTAAAACACTTATGAAGTGCTATATAATTGTTATGTGCCAAAGTATTTATTCGCTTGACCATTTCCCAGAACAGATTTATAGAAACTGTTAGAACACAGTGTAAGAAAAATAATCTAAAGGTGATATTGTCAAGAGGGTTTTTTCCTCCTTTTTTACTTATATATGCAAAGCTACTAGCAGGTCAACTATTTCCTTGTCTTTGGTAGCAATGTATATTTACAAGCTTAGGCAATCAGCAAGCAGAATGGCAGACAGTATCAGAGGCATAGAGCATAAAGCCTTTCCTGAGAAAGGTGGGGCAAGAACCAGTGTTGCTTGAGTAAGATTATGTCAACAATAAGCAGATCAAGCTCATTCCTGTTGCTGGAAAAACTGCCAAAAAGTTATTGTTGAAAAGGCAGGAAGACCAGACCAAGAATTTAAATTCTGAAGCCATAACTACAGGGCTTTTTCTGCATTCCCCATAAGCCTCCAATATATACATGATGCTCGTGTTGTAAGCAAGTTCCTGACTGCGGAGTTGAGTCTCTGGAGAGTTGAGATGCACTGTCATACCTGGAATGAAGTCTGACAGCATGATGTGCCCCCTCGTCTTCCCAAAACTATGGGAGGAAAAATTCTGCTTCAACACTCAAGATTGAACAATCCTCTTGTAACTCTATAAACATGAATCAGCAAACAAGTTCTTTGCTCCAGTATCAGAACTCAAGTTGCAGCCCAACTGGACCAATTAGCTCAGATGATGCGGGAATTGAAGGGGAACTCATCAAATTTGCAGATGACACCAAACTGGCAGGAGTAGCCAACACACCAGAAGACAAACTCAGGATCCAAAAAGATTTTGACAAACTTGAACAACGGGCCCTATCCAACAAAATGAGTTTCAGTGTGGAGAAAAGCAAAGTTTTACATTTAGGCAGGAAAAATCAAAGGTACAAGTACTGATTGGGTGATACATGGCTTAAAAACAGTAACTGTGAGAGGGACCTTGGAGTCCTAGTGGACAATTGACTATGAGCCAACATTGTGGAGCAGCAACCAAAAAAGCTAATACAATCCTGGGTTGTATAAACAGAGGCATAGAATCAAGATCACACAAAGTATTAGTACTGTGTTATAAAACCCTAGTAAGACCACACCTGGAATATTGCAGCCAATTTTGGTCACCATATCACAAAGATTTTGAGAGTTTGGGAAAAAATCAGAGAAGAGCAACTAAGATGATCAAAGGCCTGGAGACTAAAACATATGAAGAACAGCTGCGGGACTTGGGTTTGGCTAGTCTAAAGAAAAGACGAAATAGAGGAGACATGATAGCAGTATTCCAGTATCTGAGGGGCTGCCACAAGGAAGAGGGGGTCATATTGTTCACCAGAGCACCAGAGGGAAGGACGAGAAACAATGGCTGGAAACCGATCAAAGAGAGAAGCAACCTAGAATTAAAGAGAAATTTCCTGACAGTGAGGACAATCAACCAGTGGAACAGCTTGCCTCCAGAAATTCTGGGTGCTCCATCATTGGAGATTTTTAAGAAGAGACTAGACAATCAACTGTCTGAGATGGTATAGGTTCTTCTGCTTGAGCAGGAGGCTGGACTAGAAGACCTCCAAGGTCCCTTCCAGCTCTATTCTATTCTAAAGACTGGAGGATTTTCCTTTGGGCTGATTTGTATTTGGTCTAATATCTTTCTTATGCCTGAAGCATCAGCTTTGTACTTATGGGAGGAAATGGCCTTTTGCAAGCCAAGTGCTGAAGACTTGTAGAGCTAGACTCTTGACTTATCGCAGAGTGCATTGAACCTCCTCACCACCAGCAAAGACTGGAACTTCCTGCAACTTTATGTAGCATCCCCATTTCCTGTAATCTTGGGAAATTAGACTGGCTTCAGACCCACAGTGCAGGACATCAGGACTTTTGATTATTCAGCATGCAAAACTCATGGCTTGCAGGACCTAAAATCCTCACCATTCACTACTCCACACATGGAACTTTTCCTATCTTTCCTGCCAAAAATAGGGCCTAGTCTCATATGTTTTGAAAAGAAGAAGTTCAGAGTCTGGCCCCTTTTCCAATTTTCTGGCTACTGTCGATTGCTTTCCTAGAACTTTGTTTCCTGAAAAACACAAGTACCCAGCGTCAGGGACAAAATTAGTTTGCCTGAAAGAGTTTATTGATGAGAACTGACAATAGCTTCCCCTCTTCATTTCCACCAGTGTTTTCTTTTTATTAAGAAAAAGGCTGGCACTCCTAAATTCTGTAACCATTAGGGATTGCTGTCTGCTTTTCCCTATTTTTTACACTCTTGGAACATAATTTTGTATTACATTGGGTTTTGGGGAGTATATCTGGATTTGTGTGAAAGGGTATAAATATTTAACTACTTTTCCTGCTTGTTGCAAGAATTAACATAAATTAAAATGTGGGTGAGATCAGTCACTGCATCTTCGGCATTTAGAAATTATATTTTTAATAATTTTTTTTTAGAAATTCTATATTTGAACTATTCATTTTTTTCTGAAAATCCTGCTTCCAATACGGAACATCTTTGTAATTTAGCCTCTACACTAAGCTCTGTTTTTATATCCCTGTGTTAGGTTATTAGGGTGTTTATATTTCCTCAACAATAATGTAAATAGAAATCTGTTAGATTAAGATGTATTCTGTTTTGGGAGCCCCACTCTGTAGCAGTATTCCGAATATACATCATTTCATCAGCTACATCAGTTTTAAATATAAATTTGATTTTAATTTTGCTATACTAATCACACCACTAAGTAAATTTACCAAGGAGATTCCCTTTAAATGGGATTCTGACACTGAAATACACAGGCAGATGTCAAGGCATCTGTTCTTTGCTGCACTTATTCTGGCAAGCTTTTTGTGAACAAGCCAGCTAGATTGTTGCACCCTCTCCCCTCCACACAGGGAGCTGGGGACAAAGTTTCCTTGGACTATATATCAGATTTACATGTGCCAAGTACATGTTTGATGTTGTGGTTAAGGCACCAGGCTAGAGACTGGGAGATGGGAGTTCTAATCCTGGCAGACTTTGGGCCTCTTTCTCAGACTTAGGAAGAAAGCAAACTACTTCTGAAAATCTTTCCTTGAAAACTTCAGGGATTTGTCTAGACAGTAGAATGTGGATACTACTTGGGTGAAAGCTGCCCTCTTTTCTAAGATAGCTCAGTTCATTCCATCTAGTGGCTTCCCCCAAAATTACCTTACTCAGCAAGTTTTCTGGAACCATGATTTGTCCAAACATTTTGTTTCTGACAGAAACATGTGAGCATGGGGCTGGACTAGAAGGCCTCCATGGTCCCTTTCAGCTCTATTCTATTCAACTTCCTTAGCTCTGTCTATCATTTTCAATCAGATAGAGAAACTGAGAAGATAAATATGCAATTGATGGGTGTTTATAGTAAATATGAATGCCTCCTTAATTCAAATAAGTATTTTTCCAGGAATTGCCCTGCTGTTTTACAAGGCCAGGAAAATGTATAGCTTCCTGATGGAGGCCCTGAGAGGTGCAGCATGCTTAACCACACTTGTTCCAAAGTACCTTTTCAGATCTAAAGCATGGCACCATCCATACTACAGTGCCCTGATCTACAAATGCTGTCCCACTGAATAGCAATGTGCTGAAATGGGATGTGTTGTTCGTCCATCAGTTTTGATGAAGACCTTGACATCTTGCGGGTTATGGGCCATCAACGATGTGTCCATAGGTGGCTAATAAGACCGATGTTAGCACGGAATGTTCTGCCATATACTGAACAAAGAAATGTAGACACTGTTACTTCAGCATTTGCAGCTCTGGCTTTGCGGAGTGCTCGTTTTTCTTGTGCCAAGATTGTCCTTCTGTGTTCATATGTCTGGCAACCCTGGTACACCAAGGTGCGCCATGTCGGTCGATCATGCGACAGAAGTTCCCAAGAGATGGTGTTAATATCCAGGGACTTAAGAGAAGCTTTTAACGTGTCTTTGTATCGCTTATTTTGTCTCCCGTGTGATCGCTTTCCTTGAGACAGCTCACCATAGAAGAGCTGTTTAGGGATGCGATGATCTGGCATCCTTACAACATGGCCTGCCCAGCGCATCTGGGCTTTCATCAACAGAGTGTAAACTGATGATAGACCTGCTCTGGAGAG